CGCTGTAGGAAAAAAAAAGAGAAAAGAAAAAAGAAAAAAGAAAAAAGAAATGGCAATGTCGGAGTCCGTACATTCAATTCACAGTTTGAGAGCACCATAAAACCACAGAATCAGCAGCACTCACAGAGAATCAAAACTAGAGAGGAAAAAAAAAGATAAGCAAGCAATGGAAATGGAATTAGCGAACCCTTACGAGGTGGTCCGGCAGCTGGCGGAGTGCAATGCGGTGGTTGTGTTCAGCATCAGCGGCTGCTGCATGTGCACCGTCGTCAAGCGTCTCCTCTTCGGCCTCGGCGTCGGCCCCACCGTCGTCGAACTCGACCACCTCTCCCACCCTTCCGCCGACGACATTCAAGCCGTCCTCCACCACCTCCTCCCCCACCAGCCCCACCCCATCCCCGCCGTGTTCGTCGGCGGCAAGTTCCTCGGCGGCCTCGACACCCTCATGTCTTCTCACATCAATGGCTCCCTCGTCCCACTCCTGAAGCAAGCCGGCGCTCTCTGGCTCTGATATCACTTTTCTCCTAAAAATTATCTCTACCTTTATCTTAATTTCGTGGTTCAAATTTGTGATGTGTTCTAAATGTTATATAGTTCATTAAGGGGAAAATTTGAAAAGGGTATTTATGTCTTTTTGTTGTCATCCTCAAATTGCATGCCTATGTGAAGAACACAATGGAGGTATTCTGGGATCTCTGAGTATCATTGGAGAATGATATGATTGGCCCAATTTTTAGAATTATTTATTATTTTATTTTATTTTCTTCAATTTTACCCATAGAATTTTTTGTTTTTGTTTTTTTTTTTTTTTTAATCACTACGTTCAGCTAATAAAAAATAAAAACAAAAATCTATATGTGGAAATAAAGGGTTGAAAATACAATTTAAAATAAATAAAATTATAAAAACAATCCTGTCTTATTAAAAAAAAAAAATCATTAATTATTTTTAAAATTTTATTTTTTAAGCATAAAATCATATTTGATCGAATTTAGAAAAGTCAGTGGTTGAAATTTAATATGGAGATGTAAAATTGATTTTAAAATGAATTTGGTTTGCATTTATTAAGCATTATGAATTAAATAAATATTAAATTCCATTTTATTGAAGATCAATAATTTAAAAGTAAAACAGGATTTGGGGAATTGCAATTTGGAAGACGCTCAATTTTCAGTGCCTCCCTTTCTCTTTGAATTTCTTGGCGAAGTCTTCGCGTGGCGCCGACAAGATCTTTCTACCTTTTTCCTACCATTTTCCGGCCGCCGGAAACAGGATCTCTTTGAATACAATCGCGGGAAGTGATAGTTGGGGTAATGGGTCCGAGATGCAGATGGGGTTTGATGATGGGCGGTGCTCTTGTCGCCATTTTTCTTGCGGTGGCTATGACTTCCCGGACCGCTCCTATGATTTCGCTCTTTGGCCGCACCAATAAGCCCTGTCGTTGTGGTGATGTACGTTTTCAGAACCTTAATTGTCTCTATGATTATGTTGATGTATGTTAAAGCTTAGCACTTCACTGCATTTTTCAAGTTGTTCTTGAATTGAAGTATCGTTCTCTATTGTGCTGCTGAAATTGGGAGTTGGATGAATCAGGATGATTTGGAATCTTTGTTTTGTTGATGTTTTATGCAATATTAAGTTTCTGTGCTTTGAATTGTGGAATTGATATCTTCCATCTTCCATTAATGGAAACGAGATTTCTTCCATTTAACTTGTTTGATTCTTAATGCACAGGATACTCCCAAGTACAGTGGTATGGTGGAGGGTTGTTGTTGTGATTATGAAACTGTTGATCGAATAAATGAGGAAGTCTTGTATCCGTCCCTTCAAGAGCTTGTTAGAACTCCATTCTTTCGCTATTTCAAGGTGAGCTTAAATTTAATTGGATGATTTTGATGAACTGATATTATACCACATCTTGTTATATTTTGGATCTAAACGCAAATTTGAAGGAAACCCTTGTGCACTATATGGCTGTAATTTCTAAGTCTATAAGAACTTGACAGGACACGAGAAAATTTTGGAATCGAAAAGCAATGTGATGTAAAGCCTGTTCTGTTTAATACAATTGCGTCGTGTAATTGTAGTATACTTGTATCGGTTGTTGTGTTATATACATTGAGCTTACTAACATGGCTACTGCCAATGCATGATCATCATTTTCACAGGTTAAGTTGTGGTGTGATTGTCCCTTCTGGCCTGACGATGGTATGTGCCGATTGCGAGATTGTAGTGTTTGTGAATGCCCAGATAATGAGTTTCCTGAATCTTTTAAAAAGCCCCGTATCCTTTCATCCGAGGCCTTTGTTTGTCAAGAGGGAAAGCCCCAAGCTACTGTGGATCGTACGTTAGATCGTAAAGCTTTCAAAGGGTGGACTGAAGTAGACAACCCCTGGACCAATGATGATGAGACTGATGATGGTGTGTTATATTAAATACAACGGTTTAGTAAGAACATTGGTTATTCTGTTGTCGGGTTGCTTATTTGTTTCCATTTGATTTGTTTTTACCAGCTGAGATGACATATGTAAACCTTCAACTGAACCCTGAACGCTACACCGGATACACTGGTCCATCTGCTAGAAGGATTTGGGATGCTGTCTATTCAGAAAACTGCCCAAAATGTAACATCTCACTCTCGGTCTCTTTGTTTCTCCACCTCTCTAAGTGCATAGTAATTTATGTATATCTATTATTCACTCTCAACATACATTTATGAACAAATGAACACAGAGTAGAGAGATGTGGGCTAAGATTCCTGGAACCATTGTTAACTGATAACTCAGCGTAGCAGAACAACTGGTTAAAAGTACTGCACAATGATCTCTATTTTTCATGTTTGAGTAGCAATTTTCAGTCATGGTCACCAATTAAAACATCTGCGGCTCTCTCAAGAATTAGTGATAAAATGTGTTCATTCGATTCCTTATGGGACTTATGATCTGTTTTGGATGCTCAAACTTGATGTTATATTTGCTGCATATCCTGTTGCTCTCATATTAAAGATAAAATGTTAGCATTCATTGTATGGTGTAGGTACATCATGAACATCTTCGTTATTCCATGAATCATGTCTTGATTTTTTTAACATCTTTTTGTTTCTTTTCTTTTGCCAGATCCATCAGAAGAGTTATGCCAAGAGGAAAGAATATTATACAAATTGATATCTGGTCTACATTCCTCTATTTCGGTCCACATAGCTTCAGATTATCTGATTGATGAGTCTAAAAATTTGGTACAGTTTCTATTTCATCAAACTTCCCAAATGCCTTGGTTATAGTCTAAAATATTTTCTTTCCCTTGCAGTGGGGTCAAAATCTTTCTTTGCTTTATGATCGTGTACTGAGATATCCAGATCGTGTAAGAAATTTGTACTTCACGTATCTCTTTGTTCTCCGAGCTGTGACAAAAGTGAGTAGAAACATGGCCCTAACGATATGTCTTTCTTAATGGTTATTTGATGGTATTGTTTGTGTTTATGCTTAATATATCCACTTTGGGGTGGATTCTTGTTGCAATTACATCTAGGCCACGGAGTATCTAGAGCATGCTGAATACGATACTGGTAACGTAAATGAAGACCTGAAGACACAATCCTTGATGAAACAGCTGCTTTTCAATTCTAAATTACAAGCTGCTTGCCCACTTCCATTTGATGAAGCCAAGTTATGGAAAGGTCAAAAAGGACCAGAATTGAAGCAGCAAATACAAAAACAATTCAGAAACATCAGGTGGTTCTTTTAGACCACACCCTTTTTCTTTTGATCATTTGATGAAATATTATGTAAGTAGTAACTGTAACTCTCTTCTTGTATGTCATGCAGCGCACTGATGGATTGTGTCGGATGTGAGAAATGTCGACTTTGGGGGAAGCTTCAGGTTCTCGGGCTCGGTACTGCATTGAAGATCCTCTTCTCTGGTGATGATCATCTGGAACACTCGAGTCTGGATGTAAGTAATTCTGAATTATCAGCCTCAATATCTTCGATTGATTGTTTGTTGGGGAGACATTTCTGGACTTATGATTCTTCATGTCCAAGTATTCATTATAAGCACTTAAAAGGCATATTTGAACTTGGAACTTAGTGTGACAAAACAAAATCGATTCATGGCATATTCGAACTTATCTCGAGTAGTCTTTTGAATTTCTGGATGAATTATCTTACGTATCTGACCTAATTCGTTTCCGTGGGTTACAGTTGCAAAGGAATGAAGTAATTGCCCTCATGAACCTACTCAATCGGCTATCGGAATCAGTCAAATTCGTCCATGAAGTCGGTCCATCGGCTGAAACTACGATGGAAGGACAAATTGCTGCTCCCGTCACAGAAAGTTGTCCATTTCATAGAATGTGGGCATCCATATTCAATAGCTAGCCCAAACATTTATTATAGGCAAAATCTTTGTAACTGAGGAAACTGTTAAAATTATGTACCATACAGCCATGAATAACTATAGCAGCGAGAGTTTTTTGTGATCCTTACAATAGTTGTAGTTACAAAAACATTGGAGAAACTAAATCTGGTAAGCCATTTGAGATACAATTGTTGTAAAACGGACAAGAACCTGCTTTGCCATGTTCATATAGTGCCCTTGTTCCTTGTACTTGTATTACCATTGATTCAGTTTGATTTTGATTCGTACAGTTCATCGATCGGTGGTTCACCATGAAATCAACAGGTCAAACAAATGTGCTAAATGCAATATATAGCAGCGGAAATGAAGTCTAGTTCAAAGGTTGCGAACAAATAAACTCGGTTAAACTGTTTTGGGTATGTAGCAGGCATATTGTCACACAGAAAATGATGAATACATACAGGACGCAAATATTGTATATACTTCACTGTTTTGACGACCAATTTTGTGCATGAGCAGCTTCCCTTGCAGACGGAAGAACCGTCAGATGCCCAAGTCAGAGTGAAAACAGTATCAAATATCTTAAACTTAGAAGATGATGATGTTCTAAGCAAATCCTAAAATGCTATTGAACACATCATTACCTAGCGGGATTTCCGTTGACGTTTGCTAGGTTTCATTGTTTCCTTTCTTGGATCATCAGGTGCTTTTAACTCGATATATGGCTGCAAGCATATCATGACACAATATGAAGTAAAAAAATGGCAATATTAAATTATTGGACTTTCTAATATGTAAAAGAATCTCTCAGATCCAGAAAGTATATCATTGCCATCGTGAAAATGGCATTTATGTTTAGTTCAAACACATATTTTCTGTATGACTAATTGCTACCTAAAGCCTGTTCCTTAATCGCTTACAATCCTGGATATTAGTATAACTATCAGAAATAAACTGCCAGCCAAAAGCCGGACCTGCTATATTATACTCCTTATAACCTTGTAACCTTGTGGTAAACACAGGTGAATAATTGAAGGCTACAAGTCTGGAATCACATAAAAGTCCACTGACAGTTTTTTACATTGGATTTATGAGAGAAGTACCTCAAATTTGGTTATTAAGGGGTATGCATGTTTTGAATCCACGTTTAACGCTTATTATGAGGCAGACACATAGAATAATTTTCCAAGAAATTATAGAGACTATAATCCGATTTACAGGTTTGAAACTTTGTCTGGCCTAGGAGGAGGCTAGAAAGGCACAACAGAGGAGACCAAGCTATACGATAGAATCAAAGCCTAAATGGAAGGCAATGGAAAGAGGACTTAAAAAAGTACACATTAAAAGGTTAAAAGATTTGGACACTAGGCAGAAGGGGGCTTAAACTCAAACTATTAGTTATGGAAGAAACCTCCAGTTCAAACACCCGGCTCATAGACAATTACTCGAGATTTGTAACCGTTCATAACATGGTTCTTTTTGGGCTTTCCCTTCTAAACTTTCCTTCAAGGTTTGGTTTACTAGTATATTTGCTCAATCAAATAAAACTTCAACAAGTATTGAATGATTGAGATAAAACTTCCCAAGAAAATAACGTAGAAACAAAAGGAATATAAGGCTGAATTTCAAACCTCGTCCCACTTTCTTTGTAGCTCAAGAAGCTCTTGGCAGTATACAAGACACTCAGCATGATACGCAGCAGCTAGTTCTTTTATCAAGGCCTTTCGTTTAATGATACCAATCACTTGAAAGGAAAAGAAAAGAAAAAAGAAATGATCAGTTCAATTGCAGTTTATAGAACTGGAAGAATTTCAAGAGAAACGTCTCTGGAAACATCCCCAACAATGTCTTTGTCTACCATTCAAATTGGGAATGGAGCCAATTCGTCCATTCCCATAGCTACAATGTATAAAGAAATAAGGGAAAAAGACCCATTACTCGGGAGTTAAGATTGGAACCACCCAGCCCTAATAAATCCCCAAAAGGCAATCAATAGCAAACAAAACCCAACAGACGAAAAAACTCATCAAACAACGACTAAACAGAAAGCCCTCGGAATGAAGAAATCAAGATGAATAAATGAATATTACTTCGACTGGGATCGAACGAAGGCGGAGGCAGTGGCGGAGGTGCAGAATCGACTTCGAGCGGAGGAGGTTGAGATTCAGATTGGGGTTGTTGCGATTCGTCAGCCATGGATGCGTCTCGAACGAAAGGCAAATGAATCGAATCGATGGGGAGATGGGAGAGGGCAATAAAAAAGCTCAATCTCCGTAGTAGGTCTTCGATTTAGGACTCACATTTGGTATTGCCCAAATGACAGAGACAGGGTCGTTGTCGTCGTCTCCGAGAATTGGAATAGGGTTCGTTCTTTGTTACAGTGCTTCGGAGAAGATTGAGTCAAATTGGGCTATCAATGGCATTGCTTCCCCTATTTATTTATTTCACCACTCTGATCACTGTCCCCAAAAATCCTCCATCGGTTTCCAGAAAAGAGATCCATGAAAGCTGCCATCTTTGATTCTTTCATTCTCCTTCATCACTTTTTTTCCTTTTTTTTTTCTTTGGAATATTTGGCTGCATTTATCTGCCCACAAACTAAAGATTTTAGTCTCACTAATCTTAAATTTTTATGAATCTTTTCATCAAATTAGGTTCGAATTATGCTTTCTCATAACTTAATTTGTTTATAAATTGAAAACGCAATGTTTAAGATTTTGAATTCATAGATATGATTCATCCATCCACTGATTGATATCCTAAATTGTAGCACATTTGATTGTAATAAGAGTTCAAATCTTTGAATTTTTCCATTGTGTTGTGTAATTGTTTTGGAAACTTGGACAGAACCAAGGCTGACTTTCTTGTCTTGCCGGATCAGCTCTTAACATGTTTTGCAGGTGGGTATTCATGCTTTCCTGTGCTGTCGTCTTCATGTGATTATCTGTTGTCATGGAATAATTAGAGAGCTTGAACGAACGTACACAACATTTTCCTAGCATTCTTGTAAAATACTTATCACATCCACATGTCGTCTGCTACAACTCACTTCAAGTCAATTGTTGTTATGTGTCGTTTGTAACTACTACGACAACTCGATTGATTATCGGTCGCGTGCTTACGAACTAAATGTGTGCTTCTTTCTTTTTCTTATCACATTCTTTGATCCAAAACTTGCTTAAACATCACAATTGTTTCACATATTCTAAGAAGCCCACAAGTTGTAAAACTAAACCAGTAGGTCCTTGAGCGGATCCAACGTTAGCTCCAAGACGTTGGTCTCTAATTAGAAACGTAAATGCTTGAGCTTGAAAAGATTCGGGTCCAATAAGCCCGTAAAACTCATTCGAATAAGCAGTATTATAGAACCAGACAAAACAACAAACAATAAAAACCAAAAACAAATAAAGCACTAAACTATAAGACAAGTAAACTTCTCGACCATACAAGTAAACACCTAGCCTATGCAAACGATTTAGTTAAGATATGTCAAATTCCACCAAGTATACCAATGGAACCAGAGAGAGGAAGGGAAGTTTGACCCCTAAGTTTTTTTAAAAAAAAATAATAATTAATTTTCCCCAACTTTTCACCAATTTTACCTACCAAATTAATTGTTTAAACAAACTTCTAATGTTCCATCGCTTTCGTTACAATTTTAGAAATAATCACATTTATCTTAATTTTTCAAATAATGGTTTTGCATAATTCTATAACACATTCAAATAATGTCTGGTTGAGATTTAAATCTTTTTTTGATGAGATTTGTTTTTCAAAAAATACTTTGAAATAATGTGTTTGCTTTATACATTAAAACAAACTTATAAATCCTAAAAACTAATTTATAAAGTTATAGAAAATTATGAAAAATCAAATAAAAATTAATAATGGATGTGCATTTTATTTTATGTTATTAGTTTAACACAATCGGTTAAAACTGATAGATAATCATAAGCTGCACGCTTTCCTTTTCTGGAAAAAAAAAATCAAAATTAAAGGCCAACCAATAATTCAATACAGATATTTTATATTCTATTGGGATCTTCCAAACCTCCCTAAATTTTGTTGTTCAATTAGGACAGCAATTCTGTTCCTTGAAACCTGTGACACTTGTCAGAAAAATTAATACAAATGTAAGAAACTGAATAGAAAATTTTGTCAACATTAACATACCAGAAAATTAAGAAACGTGGCATATGGATTTGCCAATCAATGTTAAATTTTGAAGAGGGCAAATGCAAAAGCTATTGGTCCCCGCAAATTTTGGGATATACCTCTAAACACCACATGTTAATCTCCTAGAAAGGTCGGGGGAAGAGATCAGACATTTGAAAACTGCAATAAATATCAATGGAAGATGTGTACTAAGCAGCACCAACATAGCCAAAAATATTGATTTCAAGTATCCCCCCTCGGCACAGGACTTTCATTCAATTCTTAGTCTACGCAGATTCTCATAAATATCACCCAAAAGCTTGCATTCACGCTCAACCCAACCAATCTGACCTCCTAGAGCATCAGTTTTTTCAACCATCATCCTTCAAAAGTAATGGCAAATTCCCGTATAGCAAGGTTCGTCACCGAGGTCGCGCCACCACAGATTATCAGTGTCATGAGACGCCCAACGTCAAAAGTGTTGGATACCATCAGTGAAGAGGAGAGAGATGGCAGCAAGAATGAGTATCCTGCTTCTCCAAGAAGCCTACCATCATCAACAACCCCTGCGTCTATGGTTGTTAGTGCCAATTCTATGTACTTCGTCAGAAACATAAATAGATCTTTCTCCAAATTCAATGATTGAATAATTTGTTGTCTGGAGTGAAAATTAGGCCTTAGAGGCTTCATCACCATATCCTGTAGTTGAATTTTCATGTCGTTGTGGGATGAGTTCCTGGAATTTGTGCTCGCACAGTTTCCAGTGAACTTGCTAAAAGACTGTAATGCAATTCTATGTATAGTTTGTCGAGTTTGAAATGAGGAATTTGTAATGTTAAAATGCATAAGAATACTGTCATTCAGTCCAACAGTTTCAACGCAGATTAGTCAACAGAACATGCAGGATTAAACATTCAAATCATGCCAGCCATTTAATCTTTCCCTACACGGCCTAAACGAGTTTTTCATATGTTACGAAATGGAACATTAAACTCTCAGAGGAACTTGTTTGTTAGTACCAACCTTTTTCTTTGGAGGAGTTCGTATCTTTTCGTCTGCGCACTCTGGAAGACATGAATGTGCTTTCTTTCTGATTCAACCTTTTCCTTCAGTTTCTCTAGGGCTGTTAATCATTACAAATCAAAATAAGAAAAATGTTTGGAGAACATCCATATGAACAAAAATAATAGAGGATTATTTATGTAACAGCTTCGCTGAAAACAACAATCCTTCCCAACAAATTAACCCAGCAACCTTCTTTACTTTTGGATAATGAGTACAGAACAGAGCCGATTTGATGCACGGATCAAAGGAATTTACCACAACTGGTTTTTAAAGAGACAGGCCAATTTACCATCACGTATGATTCTAATTACTCCGGAAGTTTATATCTTCTTTTCCCAGTGGTTAAGAATAGAGCGTGATGCAAATCAAGCTGAGCACGCTTGCCTGGAGCCTGTGTAAGCGTTGCAGAGAGAACCATCTTTGCAAGCCTTCGGTAAGGTTTACCCTTAACACACCCATCAACACCACTGCATGAATCCAAACAGTATATGCAGTCAGCACGATAATTTTGAGGTAAACCAAAAAGAACATGCCAGTAAAAAAAAATTATGAGGATTAATTATAACAATGGTGAACAATACTTCAACAGTATAACCATAGTTACAAGAAGTAGAACTTGCAATTCCTTTGTGAAGTTAATATTGTCCATCAATCTTCCAGATGTTGCCACCAATATGTCCACAGAACTCAGTAGCTCAACCAAAAAATCTTCTGGATCGTAACAGATGCCTGCCTTGAGCTTAGGTCCCCTGATGAGCTCAGAATTTCATCTGCTATGGAGGATAGACCAACAGGCAGACCTACAGATAAGCCCACAGCAGGCGCAACCGCAGTAAGAACCTCTTCAACCTGATTGAAAAGAGCCGTGAGCATATTTCATGCAATTTAGCAATAGGAACTATCACTAAGTTATTATAAATATGAACACATTTTGCAGCTTGTTAAATCTTCAATGAGATATCCACCATGGATTCACTTGTTCCATCTGAGTACAATAAATGATGAATATCAAATAGAAAGCTCCAGAAGTCAATTCGAGGCATAAACAAAAGAAAAGCTCCATGATAGGAAGGCATTAACCATTCAAATGATTCAGAATAAATAGGAAATTGGCCGGGGTCGACAGGGCTTCAAGGGGAGGATCTCAGGGGGGCATTCCTAGAATAAAGAGACGTCGACAGGGCTTCGCATCCATGGTAGAACAGCGATGCTCTTCGCTTCTGCGTCTCCGCCATTGTTTAACAAGCACTGCTTCAGAGACAAAACCCTGCAGCGCTAGGGTTTTAGGCAGAGCTCGCACCCAAAATGGAGGGAAACCCAACTGTACTTATATATTTTAGGGGAAAATAACTTTTAAAAAAATCTTTGAAGTGAATCTTTTAATTATTTTATATGATATGACATTTTAAATTTAAAAGGAAAATAGAAAATGGAAAGTAATATAGTCTGTCTCCCTCCACCGTCCGATGTTAGAAGATGAGAAACCTTCCTTATCATCGTCTTGACAAATATTCATTTTATAAAAACAATTTCCTCATTTATTTTCTTTTTCATACAAAATATTCATTTTAAATAATGTTTAATCCATAATTTTTATATAATATAACATTCACAAATTTTAATATTAAATCATAATTTCATCTTATTTATTTTTTTTGGTAAGGTATCACTCTCATATGTTACCGTTTAAAAATATGTCTACTAGAGAGAGGTTTCCACAACCTTATAATAAATGTTTTGTTTTCCTCTTCTATAGCCTAATAGACTCGTAACTAGTAAAAACGAATAAGATTAGTTAGCAATGAGTTTAAACTGTTATAGTTCTTACTCTCTCTCACATTTTCTAATTTAACAAAGATTCCCTTTCTTGTTTGGGATGGTCCCATCAAGACAGAGATGTGCCAGTAGAATTCATACTTGAATGGGGCAAACTCAATCAAATTAATCTCGATCATTGTTAGTTTTAACTAACAATTATAATACACTGAAAAAAATAATTTAGGTTTTGGATCATATAAGATTTACCTATAGAAACAACCTTGGAATATCGAAAAGTACGAAGCCTTGTATTATTCCTATTTATTTATATTATTATTATTTTGAATGAAGTCAGATTCAATAATTGAATAATTGAATAATTTAATATGAAAAATACGACAATTTAATTATTTATTAATAAAAGAACAGTGCTGGATCTCAAACGAATTTACACGACCACTTGTCGCAGGTTAAGGCAGTGAGAGCATTTCATACGAAAAACCACAAACATAAACTATTATTTTTATTAAATAATTTTGTTTTATATTGAAATAACCTTTAAAATGCCAATTAAAGTGACATTAGTTTTTTCATAAGCAGGTGGAATATTGACATTTAAATAATTAAAATTAAAAATAAGGTCTCAATCATTAAAATATATTAAAGTTGATAATTAAATGGTTGCTTACATTTTATTTTAAGAGTTTGACCAAATTTATTAATTCCAATTTTAAAAAATCTTAAATTAGGTATTTTTCCCTCCATGATTGGAGTATGGAAAATAGTAATAAATTATATTTTGATTTATTCCATATGAAAGAGAAGATTCCTGGTGTATGTTCCTCTGCTCCCTGTAAATACAGAGATTAATGCGCCTTGCCTTCAGCGAATTCACTGAATTCGAAGGTCGTCTCCTTTGATCAAACCTCCGATTTAGAGGCTTTTCGTTGATTAAGCTCAAATTTCTCACATATCCATCTCCAATCATTCGAGTACCGGATTCCTTCCGGGAGGTTATAGGCGCCTCCATCATTGTTTAATGCGCCTACAATCTTCCCATTCCATTTTCCACAACTTGATTATCGTCGTCCTTGAATCCTCATATCGCCGTTGTTAGCCTCGGTTTCTGCTTCTGAGATGTAGAGAGCCTCAGATTGAGATTGATGCTGAAGAAAAATAGTTTCTCGTTTCGTTTACCGATCGACGGGGGAAGATGAGTGTGGTCAAGTCTCAGGTCTGGCAACCGTGTAAGAAGAAGAGGTCTTAATCGGAGGATTTGACAGCGAGGAAAGGAATTGCGGGGTGAAGGGAGTTGTTAGAATTGGAGACAGAGATGGCTTCCAGGTCGAGCAGTCATACCAAAACGCGGGTGGGGAGATATGAGCTGGGGCGAACCCTTGGAGAGGGCAGCTTCGCGAAGGTTAAGTTCGCTCGGAATTGCGAGACTGGGGAGAACGTCGCCATTAAAATCCTCAACAAAGAGGATATTCTCAAGCACAAGATGATCGGGCAGGTATAATTTGGATTCGCTACTAATTCAAACATTCATTTATTTTGTTCTATACGCATTAACCATGATAGTTGGAGGCTAGCAGCTAGTCAAACTTTACTGCAAAACTTAATATTCAATTAGGCAATTGAAACACAATCCTATATGCTTGGTTCTTGAGTCTTCAATGGTTTTGCTGAATAGTTATCAAAGAAATCTAAGCTTCATTGCATAACTAATTCTTTTAGTTAAACACGAAGATTATATATATTTAAGCATCAACTCTATTTATGCATATCTGCAGATTAAACGTGAAATATCAACGATGAAACTCATTAGACATCCAAATGTCATTCGAATGTATGAGGTTAGATCAAGTTATGAACTTAATTTTCTTAGTTTGTTCTTGTTTCCTCAATTATCTTATTGCATCTCATCTGCCACTAATTATTTTCTTGGTGCAGGTGATGGCTAGCAAAACCAAGATATATATTGTTTTGGAATTTGTAACTGGTGGAGAACTATTCAACAAAATTGTGAGATACAGTGACTGGTTTTATCTTGTATCCATGCATGCAATTGTAACTGGTAGTTGAACATAAATTTATTCCTTTTCCCTTATCCAGGCATGTAGTGGAAGATTCAAAGAAGATGAAGCAAGAAAATATTTTCAGCAGCTTATAAATGCTGTGGATTATTGCCATAGCAGAGGCGTTTGTCATCGAGACCTAAAGGTTCATGGCGAATCATCATAGATATCGTTCTGTTGTCATTGCTATTAATATCATCTTGTTAAACTACAATTTTAAAAGTTCTGGTCTCAAAAATAGTCTTTGTCTATGTTCTTCAGCCAGAGAATTTATTATTGGATGCCAGTGGCGTTCTAAAAGTTTCAGATTTTGGATTGAGTGCTCTACCTCAACAAGTTCGAGTGAGTATGATGCTATGAAAGCTAGCATGCTTTTAGTATGATGGATTTATGAGTAATCCTTATCTCTCTTATTAGGACGATGGATTACTTCACACAACATGTGGAACACCCAATTATGTTGCTCCAGAGGTACATTGGATTTTGACTTCAACTATTTACCATTTGCTCTCCTAAAATTCTTTTGTGATTCAATGTGTTCATAATAGGTTATCAACAATAAAGGCTACTGTGGTGCAAAGGCGGACCTATGGTCATGTGGGGTTATCCTTTTTGTCCTCATGGCAGGCTATTTGCCATTTGAAGAAGCCAGTCTCGTGGCATTGTATAAAAAGGTCTTTGTTTTGTACACATTTAATTTCTCGTTGGTTCAGTGTTCTTATTAGTTTTAGTACATCTACAAGCTCAAACCATAGAATTTTGTTTGTGTTATAGATATTCAAGGCTGACTTCAAATGTCCTCCATGGTTCTCCTCTAGTGCCAAGAAATTAATCAAGAGAATCCTCGATCCGAATCCGTCAACTGTATGACTTTGTTTATTTGAATACTCCTTCCATCTTAATGATGTTCTTAGTTATTATATGATGTAATCTCTTTGTTGTTAGCTTCTTATGAATTTTCTATGAAACAGAGAATTACAATTGCTGAGGTTCTTGAGAATGATTGGTTTAAGAAAGGATACAAGCCACCCACTTTCGAAAACGACGAAATCGTTCTTGATGACATTGACGACATCTTTAATGAATCAGGGGTAACGCAAGTTGTTCTTTGGCATTGTTTTTTATGCATGTTAAGGGTAGTCGACATGACTTTTCTTATGTTGCAGGTCACTCATAACCTTGTAGTAGAGAAGAGAGAAGAAGGGCTCGCATCCCCTGCATCACCTGTCACCATGAATGCATTCGAGCTCATCTCGAAATCTCAGGGTCTCAACCTTGCCACTCTGTTTGAGAAGCAAATGGTAGGTTATGATCTTTCCATAGCACAAACATCTTATGTTGTGACATTGATGTTTCTCTGCAACCATCCATCTGAAGTTTTTTCCTTGTTTTGTTCATTTATGAATGCAAATTAATATCTGTGCTGATCGGAATTATGGTTACCAGGGGCTATCTAAACGTGAAAAAAGTTTCACATCCCATTGTCCAGCAGATGAAATCATTTCCAAGATAAAAAAGACAGCAGTTCCTATGGGTTTTGATGTGAAGATCAATAACTTCAAGGTTGGTTGAAGGCTGGAAGATCAAAATCTTTAATAGAATCATCCATAGCTACCAAACTGATTTTGGACTTAAAATATCCGACTTGCTTATTACAGATGAAGCTCCAAGGGGAAAAAACTGGACGCAAAGGTCATTTATCAGTTGCAACAGAGGTTCTTCTCTTCACTTTTCCCCTGCATGTCTTTTAAATTCCGGTCGTTTCTTAAAAATTTTCATTCTCTAGGCCAACATGAGTATCGTTCATATAGGACCACCCGACCACTCCACATATTGTTGAACTAAAAAATATTCTCTCTCCAGATTTTTCAGGTCGCTCCATCGTTACATATGGTAGAGCTCCGCAAAGCTGGAGGGGATACTTTAGAATTTCACAAGGTATGAATCAATATATTACACACTTACACGCTTAAAGATCATGGCACATATGTATATCATGCGGTGTTTGACGTGATAGGGCCTTCTTTCCCACGATGGTTTGAAGTTTTTTCTTTTGAGTTCTGTATGGCTATCCACAGCCATTAGTTGGTTCCAAAGCTCTAACTGGATCATTTGTTATAATGTTGTAGTTCTATAATAACCTCTCAACTGGACTGAAAGATGTTGTATGGCAAACCGGAGACGAGACGGAGCAGGAAAGTAATGGTAAGCAAAAATATCATCGCGTTCGTTAAGATGAATGAAAGAAAGCGAATGGATGACTACAAAATTAAAAGCTGAAAACTAAATGAGCGGAACTGGTTATACTTATATATGTTTTACCTTGGATTCTGCAGGTGTAGCAAAGGCTTGAAAGATCTATTTGATTACCTCTCTGTCTGGAGTGGTTGTGCAAATATTGTCACCCTCCACCCCCAACAAAACAAGGAATGGTTTTTTTTTTTTTTTTTTTTTTTTTTTTTTTTTTTTTTTTTTTTTTTTTTTTTTTTTTTTTTTTTTTTTTTTTTTTAATGCCATTTAGGTGTGTGCTTTTGTGAAATGTTTCCCATATTGTGGTATGATGAAATTAATTGCTTTTTTTTTTTTTTTAAACACCGAGAAATCTAAGATTCTTTTGATAACATTCTTGTTGTATGATGAAATTAATTGCTTTTTTTTTTTTTTTAAACACCGAGAAATCTAAGATTCTTTTGATAACATTCTTGTTGTTTGTTCTTTGAGAACTAAAAACATAAAGGTGTTTGATAACTATCTATGTTATTTGTTTTTTTTTTATTATTATTATTTAAAATTAAAATATAGACTTACCTGAGTTATTTAATTAAACTAATTTATAAGTTTCGATGAAATGATTGCACCACGTGTTAACCTGTAATGAAAATTTAATTTATAATTAGAAAACCAAGAAAATTGATATTTCTTTTATTTAATCGTAATTTCTATAAAGTAATAGAGATTTAAAAATAAAAATAAATGGATAGGAAGCAAAAAAAAAAAAAAAAAAAAAAAACATACTCTTAGTTTGACTCCCTCGATTTTAAAATCTCTATTTTGACCTATGCATCACATTAGCTTTGGTACCATTTATAATTTCTATCATTTTAGCAAATGTTGACCACTTTGTCCCCCTACATATCGTTTTGACTACTTTAGCCCGTTACACACACTAGTTACAGAGTACATACTAGTTACACACCTACAATTTCTTATAATTTCACCGTAATTGCTTTTTTTAAGTCACAAATTTGAAACTTGACGTTTTAGTTGACAATAAATACTTTAGCTAAATAATTAATAAAATAATATTTAATATTACAGATGCACAATCATAATACTTTAAAAAAACATCACATTAGAGATGTTCACGAAATAACGAATAAATAAATAATTAAAAAAATAACAATCATTTTTTTTTTTGGAAATTTATATTTTTACAGTTGTATTTATAAAAGTCAATAACTTATAAAGTACACATACATATTTGCAAATATAGTATACAAAAACTATATATTATTATTGTTTTTATAAGATAATATATATTATTATTGTTTTTATAAGATAATATATATTATTATTGTTTTTATAAGATAATTACGGGTATAATCATCGTCAAAAAATTCATTACTATTCTATTTTAATTTTGGTCTCAAGCTAATTATTACACTAACAGCATTAGTTATTTGATTAAGTGAGGCTTCTACATCGGGAGATTATCAGTAAAAATAATTAGTTATTTGATTAGTGAAGACAAAATTAAATTTACCTATACTTTGTATTTATGCCGTTTCTATAAAGTTTTTCAAATTATTTTAATATTTTATTAAAAAAACTAACCTATACCCGAAATGTGTACTTTTTATTTATTTATTTAAACAACATTATTCATGAAATTAGCCAAATTTATAAATCTAATTATGGAAAAAATAGAAAGGGCAGCCGGTAGGAAGGCACGTTCTCCTTTGAGTTTTGCACCGCATAGTGTATGGCTGTGCTTCGCCGTCGTCACCATAAAGCCTTCAGCGGCGGCGCTCTTGTTTACATCACACTGAGATTTTTCATATTCTCCTTCTGACTCTTCTCCTATTTCTTTCTGTACCTATTCCCCTGTGAACAAATACCATCTTCTCTGTTACAAGCTTCTTGGAGCTGCAGGATGTTGTTTTCTCGCGGGCTTTCCCAGATTTCGAGGATTCCCAGAAACAGCTCCTGTTGTCGATGGTTTCTGTCTCATCGATCAGATACTCGTCCAGTTCTTATACCTAATATTCTCTCTTTGCATCCCTCGGAATCTGATCGGCAAGTAAGTGTCAGTTGCTTATTTTCGTTTAGTTTTTGTTTTTGGGTGCTTAGGAAATTAGTTGCTCTATGAGGGGCGTTTACGAATTTTGTGCTTAATCAAGTTGATGCAATTACTAAAAGAGTAAAGAGTTTCTGTGTCTGAATAAGATCCGAACTGGTTGTTATAAGGGTACTTTGAGCTGAGTGATTGGTTTGTAAATTTCCAAGGTTACTCCACGGCCTGTTAGTGGGATCATCCTATTCACATCATTCTCACTCGGATGTGCTCGAGGCTTGGTATTGGTTTGAGCTGAGTTTTCAGTCAATATTGCCACGTTGAGTTGAAAAATGCTATGCAGTAACTAATTGAGCTCCATTTATTCTTGTCAACTAGTTTGATGTACTTGGGTAAGGAAACAGCACTCTATTTCTTAATCTGGTCTTAGGACGTGTGTTCTCCACCGAGACAGGGATGGTTCTTTCATATTTTTTTGCCTGAAAACGATACCTATTTAGTTTCTTTCACAACAAATGCAAAAAAGCAACATGACTATGCTATGTTGTATCTCCCATGATGCTATTTAATCTGGTCTTTTAGTATTTCTGTTCTGAAGAGGCACAGTGGGAATCTGTTTTTTAAATTTTAAGGACTACTTGATAAGGTTTTGGTATCATGACCTTTTTGGTTACTTTCCCATGAGAAACCAACACAAATTTGTGCGATTCTCCGTGGTTGCTATCAGTTCCTATTCAATTCTGATGATTGGCACTGGTCTTTAGATACCTTGGGGTAGTTTACTTTAATTATCTAATGGTCAGTTTGATTAGTTGCAACGATGAGGAGAAAAGGCCAGTCTTTGAAGCTATTTGGAAAGGACCTTATCCAAAAAAGACCAAGGTTTTCTGTGGGAACTTGTTCATGGAGGAATAATTGCTGGAGATGTGATTCAAAGAAAATTGTCCTATCAGTCTCCCTCACCCCACTGGTGTCTTATGTGAACCAAATTCGGAAATACAATTTCATCTTCTTATTGAGTGTTCCTTCGCCCAAAATTATTGGAATATGCTGTTGGGAGCTTTTGGTTGGTTTCTGGCATGGCTATAATATTTAGGATTTCCTTACTTCCATTTTTGTGGGTTGTGCTTTTAAGGAGTCCAAGAAATTGCTTTGGAGCCCCATCAATAGGGGTTTTCTGTGGATTTTTTGGCACGAGAGGAATAACCAGGATTTCAATGATTTTGAGACTTCTTTCCATAGGGTTATGGATACAGTCCTTTTTTTACTGATTTCTCTTGGTGAAAATGTAATTCATTCTTTAAAGATCACTTGCTTCACTAGTTTCGAATTGTCGAGCATTTCGTAATCCACCATAGATGGTTGGAAGTTTTTCCTTCTCTTTGGAATTCCATCTATCAATAAAATTTCGTTCCTGATTCAAAATAAGTTCCCCTTCAATTATGTCTTTTCAATGGATTGCTCCAATGCAAAGTCTGGAGGCCCTCAACTGAATTAACATTGATGATTTTATCCTGAGACTCTTCTTTCATGATGTTTTGTCCTCAGCGTTGGTTTCTATGAAAGTCAATGGAAATTTCAACCACATTTTAAGACCTCTTTTTTTCTCATGTAATATCTGCCTCAATTTTGTGAGAACCATTAATTTATTGTATTACCCTTCTTGGAGCTGTCGTGATTTAATGAAGGAAGTTTTGTTGTACTTGCACCTGACTTATGTGACGAAGGATGAGTTTTATGCTAATTTTTTCCCCAAGCCTCTGGGTTATTAGGTTGGGGAGTTATTGAATTGAAGAGTGTTTCTAGGGTGGAGGGTTAGTGGGTAGAAGCCTGGATTTTGACCCTCTATAAATGCTTTTCTCTGTTTAGTGTAGCCAATAATTAGCGGAACTTTCCTACCTTTTTTTGTTTCTCTCAATTTTTTTTTGAAGTTATCTTTTATACTAATAGTGGATTTCTTTTAAACTATTCGTATCTAGCTTCCTGTTGGTTTGACTGTACTCTTATCATAATGATTTAGTTCTCTTGACAACATTGCCAATAGGAGTTGGGGGATTGTGGGTTGGTTTGGATTAGGTTTAGAAAAAGAATGGACCCGATTGATTCTTTGAGTTGCAAATTCAATCAGTTCATTAAACCTTAGAAAGTGTTGGAGGAATCCGTAGGTTGGTTTGGGATAGGTTTGAGAAAGTATGGACCCAAATTAATTCTTCAAGTTGCAAATTCATCCAGTTCATTAAACCTTAGTCAGGTGTTGGGGGAATTAGTAGGTTGGTTTGGGTTAGGTTTAGAGAAAGTAAGAAGCCAAATTAATTCCTCAAAAGTTGCAAATTCAACCATTCTATTAAACCTTAGTCAGATGATGAGATTAACCTAACTCAATCATATAACCACTGGTTGTTGGATAGTCTTGATTGTTGGGAGAGATTCCAATTTATTACCATTTCAAGCTTTCTCATTCATGAAAAGATGACTAGAGAGTGATGTGATGTTTGTATTATTTATTATGCTAGATCACATTTCATATTTTATGATGTTTAGTGTGTATTGCCTAATTCTCGTATTTTATTATTCACTTGGATTGAAGACAACCACAATAGAATACACTGCTTGGAATACTATGTTGTATTGTATCATTTCATGTTATATCATGATTCAACGTCATACTTTATGATTATTGCTTAGATGCAGTCCATTATACATTATGGATTTCCAGAAGTTCAATGTGTATCTATTTGCTCGTATATTGATCATCCTATATTTTAATTGTTACTATACGGGAAATTGATAGGCTCCAGGATGCAGAGAAATCATGTACTTGGCTTATCCCACTTTTCATGGTTTAGGACGTCAAATCCATCAAAGCAGCTGTGCAGTTGAGGTAGGTAGTCACTTTTGTCAGGTTTCTCTTCTATTACATGTCTGATAAGGTCAAATTAATATTAATAAAGTCAGCCAGTGTATTCGCAAGCTCTCTGAGGCGAAGAGGTTGGAAAAGTTCTTTATTCTTTAAATGTTTATTTATTTCCATGGCTAATTTCTACATGGTTGTATTTGCTGTTTTGTATTTTTTTCTTTTTCACTCCCTTTGGGAATTTGTATCCCTCGAGCATTTTTATTCATTTTCATTATATCAATGAGAAATTATTTCTTGTTAAAA